AGGGTTGGCAAGAAGCACGAGGTAAAGGGCCAACTTTGGTGGCTGCTGATGTGTCAGAGGGAGAGTCCCTGGCACTGGGCTCCCACTGTCTCCTCTGTGTTCCTTCACAGGCAGGCGGGTCCTTACACAGCTGGGGCAATCGCCCACAGTCCTCTCAAGCCCGAGGAAGAGGCTGCTCTCACCAGACTCTCTCCTCGCTGGAGCGGGTGTTGGTCTTTAAACATAAGCATGTCCTACCTCTTCCAGGCACACAAGCCAAGCATCCCTCTCTGTACTGAAAAGGTAAGCAAGTTAGACTTGGAGACTCCTCCTGAGAATGCTTATGTCAGGCCTTGCTCTAGCAGCAAATGAGAGGCCAGAGTTCTGCAGCTCAGCACCCTCCTCCACACTCCAGAGCACCCCAAATTGTTATGAGCAGCATTTTGACACATTTGGCTGTAGGATAGGTAGGGACTCATTTGTCATCAAGAACACTATCCTCCAAGGTTGTGTACACCTCTCTTCCCCAGGTCCTCTCCCCTGCAGCCTGGGTCAGGTGGGGCAGTGGTGGCAGAGGCATGACTCAGAACAAGAGCTGCTTGCTCAGTCTGGAGAGGTGGCTGCTCCCAAGCCACCCAATGATGCTACCTTTCCAATGTGGGGGTCCCTAGTACATTTCTTTCTCAGCCTAAAACACAATCTGGTTTCAGTAGGGAAACCCCATTTCCTAGGCAGGACTTACAGGTTGCTAAACCCATATCAAAGTCCACACTTAATGCTGGGAGGTCACGGGACAGCTGCCTCCAGTCCCATGTGACCAGGGATTACCCACTAAGGTGGAACTTCCATTCCAGTCATCAGGGGTGAGCAGAAAAAGACACGAGCAACAAAGTTGTTGATTACTTCACAAAGAATTCAAAACAGAAGGTGTTGCGTTATAGAATCTCAGATTTAATCCTTGCTGTGCTCAGATCTTATCCCATGTCTGTGTCCCAGAAGGCCAATGCCTGGGGAAAATTGTATTCAGCACACCCAGATCCAGTCACGTCATCCCAGACTTTCATCCCACCTTATGTGAGCACTTATATGCACAGCCTGTGTCAATCTGCCTGGTGGCACCCGATCTCAACAGTCAATCGATGGTGAAAGAATAAGCCCTGAAAGAAAAATGTATTTGGCTGCTGCTTTGGAAGGCTGCTCTGAAGGAACCTCTTTCTGAAATGTTTTCCAGCTGTTATTTCCTTTCTGGATAAACTGAGCCTAATTCAATTTGGGACACCTTTCTCTTTTCCAGATTTTTTTTTGTTTCCAGAAGGCAAACTATCCACAGATGGCTCTTTATAGCCATATGTATGTTCCACTGGTTTTGGCTGAGATGTTTACTGATGTGTAAATGACTCTGTCAGTACATGGGACAAGTATTTCTTCCACATTACATGGTCCTTCAATTACATGGTATGATGGAAGACTAGCAGGATACTCTGTTCTCTCCAGAGCACTGGGGGGACAGAGTTGCACAGCTGTCTCCGGGATGAATCAGGCTGGTACAGGACATTCCTATGTCACTGTGAGGGAAACAGCCAAGCACGCTCGCTCAAGGGTTGCCGTGAGAAGACCAACAAAACTTGACTTTGGAAACTGTTCCATCCTCATACTTCACAAAAACTAACGCAGAATACGACTCCATCAATACAACTTTCCTTCTGGTTTCATAATTTTCCTTCTCAGCTGCCATTCCCGGTGTGGTTGGCAGTGATGTTAGAGACAGAGGAGGAAATAGGCTGGAGAAGGGGGAATTCAAAATGTAAGTTGTCACCTGGCCAGAAATGGGGAAGAATCAGAAGTACTTGAACCACCACAGATGCTGGGGAGACCACCACCAGGCAGAAGAATTGGTGAGTCCAGCGTCACAGGGTCCAACCTGAGGCATGGGCTTCATCTCTGCCCTCCCTCCTATCTGGGAACCAGCTCCAAAATCTTAGCATCCACAGCAAGGCTACGGCCCTGGCTGGAGGGTGCCAAGAAAGTGGGCCAAGCCCATTGTGATTTCTGCCTTCCCATTTTCCTTCCAGATATAATCTTTCCCCTTAGCTGGCTATCAACCTGATTCCTGCAAAAATGCTCTGGGGAAGTCTTACTGGTGGCATTTTTGAAAGTGTCATTTTCTAAAGAATCCATAGTTCACCCTCAATATCCTCAGGGCATATTTGCATAAAACCTATATGCTTTAGATTATTTATAAGACCCAGTACAATGTAAATGCTGTGTCAACTGTCACACTGTTTAGAAAATTTCAAGAAAAGTCTGCACATGCTCAGTACAATTTTCCCTGAACATTTTTAAATCCACAGGTGGTAGAATCCAAGGACATGTAACCTATGGACAGAAGCCCAACTGTTTTTTAAAATGTGGTAGACCCAGCAACTGAATAACTGATATATAGTAGTCATATTTGAATTCCTGACTCACGTCCGTTTTAATTTTGACTGCTCACATCTTGAGTATGGAGCAGAAACTCACGGGAAAAATAAGTCTCTTCTAATCAGAACTCGATTCTGAAAACAGCAGCATCCATATCACCTGGGAGCTTGTTAGAATGCAAATCTCAAGCCCCTTGAATCAATCTTCATTTCCATAAACTCATCAGATGATTCATATACACCATGGAGTTTGAGAAGTATTGATTTATCCAAGTGATTTTTGCTATGGGCTGCCACTATCAAGTTATACAATTAATTTAGCGGTGGTGATGTTAAAAAATAGCATGATGGCAGAGGAAAACATCAGAGCATCCTATATTTTAAGGCTAAATATTGTGAAATGTTCTTCAGTTACATAGATGTGTGCTGGGAGTTGATCATTGTGTAAACTGTATTTTCCCAGTGGGTCACAGTTGAAAACATTTGAAAATTGCTGATCTAACAATCAGGCTTGGTTATTTCAAGACAGACTGTGCTTTATTACCCTTCAATCAAGTTTACCCATCTGACCAATACCTGTAGCTTGGTAACTCAGCCCTGGTGCAGGCACCTGAACTAAAACATGCTTCCTATATTCCTTCATGGGTAGCACAAAGGTTTGTAAGAAGCTATCCACTGACTACCCCAAAAGGACTATTGAGGTATGCCATCTAGAACAAACTCTGAACAACTGTATGTTTCCTGTTATTAACTTGCTCATCTATTTCCCATTTGGAGTCCTGACTCCAAGTCCTTTTTGGGCCATAGCTAATGTAACTGTTTTAGTTTTGCTAAAGTTATGCTTTCATTATCTTTTCCACTGGATGAAAAAAAAAAGATGTCCTTAGTAGTTTACTATGCATTTATCAGGCACCTCAGAGCAGAAGGTCAGAAGGGCTGTCAACCCAGTGTAAATTAAAACACTGAATGGTGGTAAGCCAGTTTTCTTCCTGTGACCTGTACCACAGAGGTCTATTTGGTGATTCCAAAGTGGGGAGAGAATGTGGGGCTACCGGTGTCTTATGGATTAAACTGACAGGGTGTCTATTCTGAAATAGACCTTTGTCCATTATAGATGTTTTAGCTCTGTGACATGGGGCAATTTATCTTCTCAGGATATATACACATTGGGGAGAACAATGATACCCACCTTATAGAGTTCTGTGAAAAAAAAATTAGATGTTAATCCAATCAATTCATTATAAAAATAATCATTCAACTCTTACCATATGCTGGGAATTGTGGCAGATGCCAGGAATTCAATAGAGATAAACAAAGCACCTACTCCTAACGCCTCTGGGTCTGGTAAAGGAGCAGATAAACAAGCAGCAAGTTCTCAGAGGGACAGTAAGCACATTGCTTCCAGAGTCTCTGAAGGGGTTTCTGGGACTCCATCCCTGTCCTCTGGAAAAGCCTCCAGGGTCCATTAGGAGATGCAAAGCTCTAACCCAGGGTCTCGAGGCCCACCTATCCTCTGGCTGCATCTCCAAAGCACATTCTTCCCTTCCTTCAATCTGTTTTGGTCACACTGACCCCACTGCCACTCCTTGAGCACACCAAGCAGGTCCCTCTGGGTGTTCTGCTAGCATCTGTGTGAACCATTTTCTCCCAATACAACATGGCCCACCTCCCCCTTTGTTCAGGTCTCTACTTGTGTTGGTGAGGTTTCTCCCCACCTCCATCACTCCACTCAATTTTTTAAAGATACCAATATATATTGTGATGGTTAATTTTGGGCATCAACCTGGCTAGACCACAGTATTCACACATTGGGTCAAATCTTCTAGGTATTTCTGTGAATGAGTTTGAGATATTAGTGGGTTTTTTTTTTTTTTTCCCAGTGCTGGGGATGGAACCTACAGCCTTGCACATGCGATGCGAGCGCTCTACCAACCAAGCCACAGCACTAAGATTTATATTTTAAATCAACTAACAGAGCACCCATCATAATGTGGGTGGACCTAATCCAATCAGTTGAAGGCCTTGGTAGACAGACTTCCCTCAAGGGAAAATTCTGAGGAGGGGGTGTGGCTCAGTGGTAGAGTGTTTGCCTGCAATGCACCAGGTCTTGGGTTCAATCCCTTAGCACCACAAAAAAGGAATTCTGCCAGCAGGCTATCTTTGGACTTGAACTATGGCATCAGTTCATCCCTGGGTCTCTAGCCTGTCTTACCCTTCAGATTTTAGATTTCTTAAACCCTAATGAGTGCTGTATGCATGAGTGTGCGTTACTCTCCAGTAAACCCTGATGAGTTTGTCGCCAGTGCACTCCTAAGGCACCCCAATGATTTCCCAGAGAGTTGCTCTGAAAATCCCACCCAGGGGAATCCAGATGATCTATACCACTGAGAAACGGGCCTCTGACACCCAGACTCAGTGGAAGCTGGTCTTTCAGACCTTGGTTTAGACTTGGACCACACCCAGGACCCCAGGAAGTGGTAGGCCCAGAGTTCAGATTCCAGCTCTTGAGCAATGCACCTCTCCATCTTCCTGTATTCATCTGGTAAAAGTATGACTCCTTTCACAGGACCGAGTTTCAGGACAAAACACAGTAGAGCCAAATAAGAAAAATAACTTTGTTATTAAGTATATACAATCATACAAAATACTTCATAGTATCATATCCATAACTGTTGAATATTTGCTTGTTACATGACCTGATATAAATAATGAACAGGGTTACCGCAGTATGTGTGACTCGTCACTGGGAAATAAAAACAAATTCACAACACACATGGGATCCCTCGGGGTACTTGATTTGGTAATCTAACAAATACCTCCAAGATCCCTGAGGGATGTGTAGTAAACGGGTACTTTCCTATGATTTCTCTAAAGTGGAAACATTTGTAGAATGATCAGCTAAAGCCCATGATTTTATGCTTTAACAATCATGGTCACTTTTCCAAATGGAAAACTATTTTGATTTGTTGTGAAACATCCATGCTGACTATGCCAGGAAAAATTTCATCCATTTCCCTGAATTTATGATAAATAACTTTAGACATCTTTATTCTACCAATTGTTTGGCCTAGATTTCTGCAAATAACTTTCCTTTGCAGGAAGGGAGCCTGGAAGATCAGTGTTTTTTTAGAATAAGGCTGCTGAGACCGGCTCTATGGGGCAGTTGGAATGGGGAGGTGGAGGGATGGGACGCCCCAGATGCGATGTAGAATGGCCACCTGAGAACACAGAAGCCTGGGACCTGGCCACGTCTAGCTGTTCCTTGCATGCCTGGCAGTGGCTATCCCAGGGCCAAGGTGGTCATGAACTTTGGAAAGTGAGCAACCAGGGTGCTCTGCATGTGGTATCTGGTCAGGTTAGACTTTCCCCCTCCCACACCATGCCAATCAACATCTGTTTACCTGTCAGGCTTCAGAGACAATAGACACAACTCTGGTCAGTAAACTCTAAGCAGGTGTTGAGATTGACACGGAAGGCAAGAAATGCCAGCATTTCCTTGTACCCCACTCCTTTTTGGCATAAGAAAACATTTCTCCCTCTGGAATTAGGGAGGGAGTTTTCCTTAAAATAGTTACAAGGGTTTGCCTTTTAGTTTACAATATTTAAAATTCCCATTGTTTTCCAAAAGTAGGGAACACATGAAACAGCCCTTAATTATGACGCAAAAAAAAAAATTGATGGCAACACTTCTGGGTCAAGAAAATGTACAAAGATCTCTTCCTCCCATGGAAAATGAAGTAATTTAGTAAAACAGGCAAATTTTTACCTCCTTAAAAAAAAAAAAGGCCTTTCTGTTTGGCTTTGAGAAGTCAGTGAAACTTTAAGAATCCATACCTAAAAGACATTAGAAATAACAATGAAGTCTTATCTTTAAAAACACAATTTGGATGTGTAACTGATGTGAATCTGCAATCTGTGTATGGGGTGAAGGTGGGAGTTCATAACCCACTAGAATCAAAGTGTGGAATATGATATGTCAAGAAATTTGTAATGTTTTGAACAACCCACAATAAAAAATTAAAAAAAAAAAAAAAAAAAAAAAAACACAATTTGGGCACAGAGTACATAGTTTCATAGTGTCCCAAGTTTTGAAGTGGAGGATTATTGATTTTCTAAGTTGATCTGGTCTAGCCCATCAAGATTATAAAATATAGGCTATTGTGTTTTGCTGGAGATCATCATCCTGAATACTCAAATCCCAGACATTATGATTTTCAGCTCTTTTTAAAATATATTATCCTTGTCTCTGGTCAAACACTGCATTTTATTAGCATTTGACAATAAGGATTACATTTCTAAACAGTTTGCTGTCAAAAAACCAGCAAAGGTAACAAAATGCTGGGCTTAAACTCCAGGCATTCTAGATGAAGTACTCTACCACTGAACTACATCCCAAGCCCTCAAATCCTCATTTTTTTTTAAAAAAGGACCTGTGTGTAGTTTTATTGGTTCTTAAATTCTTAAACTGCATCCTTTAAACAAAGTTGCACAAGCAAACTTTAAAGGTATCCCAGGTGGGACTCAATAGCAGGACAGTCGATCTCTTCATGAGCCCCTAAATGATGAGGTTCTCTGTGATGAGGGTCAGAGAGACTTAAGGCAGAAGAGATAGAAAAATGCACCTTGAAAATGCTAGTGGACTGTCATGGGATTTGGACAGATTAAGAAACAGTATAGCCAAGTGTTTGTAAAAGATGCAGCCACTGTGGGGATTCCAGTTCTTAACACAGCCCAACAGTGGCGAAGAGAGAAGACTAATGCTACCCAAGATCTGCAGGCAGAGCCCCTTCCCAGCGTTCTTCAGGAAGATACCTGAAAAGCGGCACACAAACCCAGCGACAGTGACCGTCTTCCAACAAGGTGTCACAACAGCAGAGGTAAGAGTCGTAGGCTGAGAAGAGATGGACAAAATCACAATACAAACTGCTCAGAAATGAACGCAAGGGTTCATAGCAGGATGGGAAGTGGGAGACCCCAATGTGGACAAACGTGAGTCTGATCACGTGAAAGTCAACGTAAGGGCGAAGTTCTCCTGAATAGGTAGCGAAGAAGCCATTCTGTGTGTCCCAGGAGAAAAGTCCATCTTCAGAAACCTGTAAGCTGCCTGCTGACACCACGCGGGGCCTTGTGCTGTCGGGATGGAGCGGGTCCTCCTGCTGGCCTATGGCTCCTGGTGCCCAGGGCTCCAAAGACAGCCTGGTTGGGAACCTGCTTTCCCCTGGGACCCAGAGTGCTCTGAAAACACTACAACTTCATGAGAAGCCGGGAAATGTACCTCTTTATAAACTGCTTCCCACATTCCTAAGGAAAAATATACAAGGCGGCTGAAAGAACCGCAATTTAGACTCAATTAGGGAAAATTAAGGAAAAATAGGAATATCGGGAAGAAAATTTCTGTCAAGTAAGGAAAACCATTTATTTCCCCTTCCCATCATCTCAACAGAGTGACTCTCAGCACGTTAGCAAGCTTGGCTGGTTCTAGGCAAGGACTTCTAATGCCCAAGAGGAGCCCATTACCTTCTGCACTGGCCGACAGGGCTTCAGTGGGGTCCCTGTCCCTCCGCCAACAACCTACACCAGGGACGACCTTCCAGCTTCAAGCCCCACTGTACAATTAATCAGCCTGGATCACAGCCTAATGGCACCTGAAGGCCTCTGGTCACCTCATTTAATAAACTGGTTTATGGAGCTGGACCACACTTCTGATCAAATAGCTTAAAATGTTCTGGCACCAAGAGCTCACTGTTCCGATGTGAATCAGGGCATTTTATTGTCTTTGGAAAAGAGGATTTATTCCTACAGTCAAATAACTTTCTGCTAGTAGGATTTTCCTAGATAAGCATGGCATGTACTCAATCATTTAAATTTTAAAGTGTGGCAACCTAGGAGTAGTAATTCTTCTCTATCTTCCCTAATCTCTACTCCTTAATTCTCTTTCTATAATCAAATTTGGGAAATGAGGTTGAATAACAGGATAGAATAAAATCTATTAGAATGACGGGGAAAAAGAATTATCCACTAAGGTACATCTATATGTCCTCTCCACCCTTTTTGAATGAAGAGTCCCAATTTTGATACTGGAGGAAGAATGGTCTAGTCTATTTTGAACACAATTTTTAAAAAATAGCCTCACATTTTCTAAAGCTCACCCTGCTGTTTTCCCTCTTAAACATTCTGCCCAATTTTAGGGTGTTGGGGAGGAGTTAACTCAGAAAACCCAAACGTTCCTGAAATTTCAAAGAAAAGTCCCAATGTAGACCACCAGATTGACTGAATAGTATGTAAAGCCATCTCTTCTTGCGTCTCTAGCAGGTCCAGTGGGGCACTCTGAAAATAGTGTTTGAAGAAGAGTAGGGAGAAACCAGGGCAAGAGTAAAGAAGATGAAAATATCCTTTCTAGGTCTCCAGTGGTTTTTTCCTTCATTGCGCTTCCGTTGGGGTGAAGCTGTGGGACGTGCTATGGATGAAAGTCTCTGGCTTCATCAGTTCTCCTTGGATGGTCATCTCCAGAGCCAAAGTCCATGCTCTCTGGGTAGCTGGAAAACTCCTGAGGTAAAGGGAACTCCTCTGCTGAAGAGTGAGTCCGGTGCCCGAACACCTTGTCCTGCAGCTCAGTGATGTCATTGCGGATGTCAGCCAGCATAAGCAGCAGGAAGTCGAAAGACCCTGGGGGTCCCTGTGCGGGTGGAAGGAGTCACAGTTGCAATTTACAAATGGACATGAGCAGCGATCCCTGTGGCTCCGTGATCTGCTGGTCCTGTCGCTTGCTGGCAACTACCTGTGGGTAACTGCTCCCCCAGTGGAGTAAGTGTGAAGACTTTGAGGGTAGCCTGTGACCGTGGGGACTATCCTCTAATCCCCCATCTCACTGATAAGCGCTAGTGACATATTCATCTCTCCTCTCTCCTAACTCTAGGCTACACCCAATCTGATAGATGAATGAACGTAAGAATAACCTTCTTAGGTAATTTTCCAAATAAATATGGGAAATATACATGAAGGTACGAGAATAATGATTAAGAGGTTGGGTTTCTGTTGGGCTTGAATCCCAACTCTGCCCCTCATAACCTGTGGGATCATGGGCAAATTACTCAATTTCTCTGGGTTTCTGTATTCCCCATCCGTAAAATAAGAACAATAATTGTCCCATTTTTCACAGGTTTTCAGGGGTTCATAGGTAAAGATTTAAATGACTTAATGAAGGTCTTAATGCATAATAAAATTTCAAAAATTGTTAGATATCATTCATTTTTTTCAACATGAAATCATTAAGATCTTTATGACTATGACTCCAAACTAAATGAAGCTGAAAGTATATTGTAAAGATACCAATTCCTCATTGACCAGGAAAGACCAAAACAAAGCTTCCTAATTTTTCTATTTTTATCATTTTATAACATTATGCCTTAATTTCCATGCAGTGTTGTGGGTAAGGCAAGAGAAAAAAAAGTGTACAAACATGTATATTCTGGACCTATTGGAAGCTTAAAGGTAAAATTGTTGTTTACCCCCCACTCACCACCACCCCAATGGCAGTTGTGACTGTAGGTAGCAGCTTAATGGCAGCCCTTACACTGCAGTATCCCCCTGACCCTCAAAATAACCACTTGGCATGTGGCAGATCAAACCCCACTAACTGGCACCACACAGGTGAGGGAATGAACACCCAATGCTACGTGACATGCCTATGTTCAGAATGCTAACAGGTAGGAGAGCAGAGAAGAGACCCAGACCACCTACTTCTGTGGCCACTGTGCCTGGTCTTTCTTCAGAAACGACACATTTCCTCTACTTTTGGATATTACTGATCTTCACACTTAACCTCCAGACACTGTACACGTATGTGTCTAATTTATTCTCAGGTCTCAAGCACAGCCCTGTCTTTGCACTTCTGGGAGGGGGCTGCCATTCAACCTGCTATGACTGCAGCAGTGGCTACATTCTCAAGTGTTCCAAGTTAGTATAGCCCACGGATGTCTATCCCAGTCCCTTGAAATATTTTATAATATACTTGAACATAGACTCATGACATCCTGGGCTTAAAGGAAGACATTCTATATGGAAATTAGCTACAATAAAAGACAAAGTAACAACAGAAAGCAAATTTAAAAAAGAAATCCAAATCATCTGCTAAAGGCTTCCTGGCCTAACCACAGAGCCCTGGTCAGTCTTAGGGCCAGTTACAGTTTGCTACTAAGACCTACTTACAGACTTTTAAGACAAGAGCTGCATCCCTGAGAACACTCTCACTGGGGAAGCAGAACAAAGAGTAAGTGCCACTTACTGGAGACCCTCTGGGCCCAGGTGCTCCTCTCTCCCCCTAAAAACAGAAAGGCCAGCATTAGTATTCTGGACCACACGGATGCCACCACACTACCTAGATCCCCTCACCCATAATTGTCTCCTTGCATGAAAAAAAAAATTTTCTACAGGAAACTTTCAAACATATGATTGAAGCAGACTCAGGATCATTTATTTGAATAGAATTTCCTGGGTCAAGTATCACTCATGCCGATTTCCCCCAGAGCCATATATTTTCAAACCAGATCAAGAGGAACAACCGTATTTGGAAGCAGTGCCTGGAGCAGCAAACTCCAGTAATGCATGCCACTTCTTTATGTGACAACTCAAAAGTGAAGCCACCCACCTACCCAGAAAGGAACTCCTGTTGTTGAAATGGGGACCCACAAAAAAACCATCGTACAAAACAATACTGGTTAATGAGAAAACATGTGTAATGATCACAAGCAAGGCTCATCTGAAGTACAGAGGTCATCTTTCTTAGGAGTGGTGGTGGTGGTTCTTGATTTTAGGGTTGGTTCCACATGTTAAGAAAACTGCTTCTTATTTTTTGTTCCTACCATTGGGGGCAAAGTACAGATGGAGTATCCCTTATCTGAAATGCTTGGGATCAGAAGACTTTCCCATTATGGAATTTTTCAGATTTTGGAATATTTGCACAGACTTTACTGGTTGAAACTTTCTTAATCTGAAAAATCTAATACCAAAATCCAGGATTTTTGGAGCTTTCTGTCAATGCTCACGAAGTGTCCTATTTTGCAGCGTTTTGGAATTGGGGTTATGGAATGCTCAACTTGTCCACCTGTGTGTCAACTTTGCTATCTGCTCTCTGGGGTGATAAACGGTGCTGGTGGAGCTGTTTGATGCCTGGGCAGTAGGTGGGAACAGAGCCCCAGCTTGTAAGGACCACTCAGAAGACTTACCTTAGAGCCATCTCTTCCTGGTGCACCCGGAGGACCCTAAGAAACACAGGACATGGTTTAACAGGAGGAAAGAGTATGGGACACCTTTCCCTAGCACTAAGTGGATCTCTGATAAGATACTGACCACAGGACCCCTCCGGCCTTGCTTAATGTGGGACAGATCAGGAGACGGTCCCATGGGTCCCATTGAGCCCCGGGGGCCGGGCTGCCCAGGAGGGCCCGGCATACCTGGGAAGCCTGGGCTCCCCTTTGGTCCTGGTGAACCTGCAATCAAAGAACAGCTCATTAGTGCTCAGCCTCAGAGGACGACATGGGGCTCTGGCTGCAGAGTGTGTCCAGGAGCCCCGACTTCAGCCATTTCTCTTTGCCTTCTGACATAAAATGCCTGCCCACTAAGTTGTCCCCTGGGAATTTTAAACTTAACCTGATCAAAAGTGACTTCCCTACCTTCCTCTTTTATGGGCCACCAGTCACCCGTCCACTCACACCAGAAACCCGAGTGTCTTCTTAGAATAACCCCATTTCCACACCCTCCTTACCAAATCAGTGACCTGCTGCTACCCAATTTACCACTAACAGTCTGTGCTCCCAACCTCTCCATCATGTAGGGCAGTGGCAACCACCTCTGGACAGTCATTGCAAGCACAGGTTTTGCCAGAGAGCCCTATACTGAATCTTTAAGTTGCTGGAGATCTTTGAAACTCAGTTTCTCATTTCTGAAGAAATCTTCCTCATAGAAATCTCATTTAACAAGATTTTAGATATGTACGCACTATTACACATCGTGTCTCCTGCACAGTGAGCATTAAAACTCATCTGTTGGGCCTTTGGCTTTTTATGTTCGTCTCAACTCTTGCCTCACAGCTAGGCTCCCTCTACTTTCCACCAGCCTTGTATACTCTTCACCCGTTCTTTATGCTTCTATATGCCTTTTATTTCTAGACTCCTACTGTGCAACTTCCCATTTTCAACCCTTTGGTGCAAAAGCCTCAATCCACTGAGGTGAGGCAGCCAACTTGCCCTCCTGTGGGCCCTGGACAGACATCCCCTGCTCCTGAGGGGTGGGACGTGCTTTCCTGTGCAAGGTTTGCTCCCATACAAGGCACACTGGAGATGTGTGGCAAAGATCGTCTCACCTCTAGGCTCAGATGCACAGGTCAGGGTTAGGATTACAGATGGACCTGGAGAACTGAAGATGTTCTCTCCTCCCACAACTCTAGCATGAAAGGTACTGAGCCCAGAGGTCTTCCACTGAAGGGTGTCGAGAAGTGGGCAGGAGCTGCCGACGGGGGAGTACAAACAGCAACCTACTGGCATCCTTAGCCCCCACTAAGCATAAGGGAACAATATCCCACCATAGGAGGGACCGGATAGCTTGAGTATGACAAAACACGGAGGATAACTAGAGTGACAACAAAACGAAAAATCAGCTCAATTGCTCGTTAGACTGACTCAACTCCCTACTGGCAACCAGACAAAAGAGGGTGTCAGTCACAAGACGTAATTACTATGTAGCAGTCTCTACTTTTTTCTACTCTCTCCCCACAAACTATGTTCAGCCTTCAATCAATAATTGAGGCACATGTTTAAAAAGCAAAAGCAAAACAAGCACTGTCAACAAAACAATCAGCAGAGCTAGACTCAGAGGTGATCCAGATGTTGGAATTACCAGGGACTTTAAAATAACAATGATTATCTGTTAAAGAGGACAGTGGAGAAGATGGAAGCGAGAGGAAAAAATGGTAAAATGGAAATAACACAATATTAAGGATGAAACTTTTTTTGGATAGACTTAGCAGGCCAGTCATAGCTGAGAAAAGAACCAGGAAACTCAGTTATATCAACAGAAATGACCCAAAATGAAACAGAGGAAGCAAAAAGCAAAACAGAGCATCCTCAAACGGTAGAGCAAACAGGCTACGTGTCCCTGATGCCCAAGAAGAAAACCCTACACCAACTCCCCTTTGTGTAAAATTCAAACTCATTATACCACTGACCTCCAAAAACATCAATACTCTTTCACTATAAGAGAATTATCTGCTTGCCTCACCACACACTATTATACTTCGGTGCAATGTGTGAATATGTAGTGTATGTATATAATGTATGCACACACACACTACCCATGTTTTTCTATGTGTTATTATGTATGAATGCTTCTAATATTTTAAAATTTTGAGATTTCATATAAAACCATGAATTTCTGGCTTTAGTTTGAAAACAAGAACTAAAACCTGAACAACAATTCAGCCTTTGGCACAAGTGACTGGCACTTCATAAGGGGCCACCCCCTTACTACCAAAGCCAAAGGATTCTGACCCAGGGTGCTGCCCTGGGTTGGTGCTCCAGGAAATAGAATGGACTTTCACTTAGAGAAATCCTATTAGCTTCCCAGCTGCCCTAACACATCCCAATAAAGAGCATCACAAACACTGGAAGTAAGAGTGGGTAATTCCCCCTGTAAAAGCTCCATGCAGTTCTCCTGGTCTACTGCGAAAGCTCACTCATCCTCAATCACTCCATGCTCCATCAAGGACCCTGGACAGCTCGAAACATGTTAGAAACCAGATGGCAGAGCTGGAGAAGAGAGCTAGCAACTCATTTATTAAGAAAACTGCCAGCCAATCTGTCCGCTCATAGTGCTGTGTACACCGGCCTGGGATGACCTTCTTCCCGGGAAGCCAAGCAGGAGCATTCTCTAATAGAGGGATGGGAAACACTGCAAGGAATCTGTTTGTAAGGAGACCCCCCCCCCCCAAGTTTGCTTAGGGCACAATAGGCTGCTGCGTGAGGCATCTGGAGGAAACTCTGTCATGACCTGGAGAACCTCAGGCAAAAGGAATGAATAAGATGAAAAACCAAAGTCCTGGGCCAGTTCTGCTCTACACAGATGGAGACCCAGAGCGCTGATAGAAACCAGAAGACCAAGACCCAAGCAGAGAGAAAAATTCTGGAATAACACTGAGCTGGTTCTTGCTGACTTTCCAACTTAAAACTTTCCCATGCTCCTTTGGCTTGGACAAATTCTACCCATCTTCTGCATGCAGGTCAAACCCCAGATTGCTCTGAGCTATGGTAATCTCTCCTTTGAACTTCCATGGCAGGAAGCATCATGTTCTTATTTCTTGGCAAGTGGATACTCATTCAGTTTGCACCCACTGTGTGTGTCTTGTCCTTCTGATTAGGATGTCAGGAGGTCCTAACACCAAGCACCCTATTAAGCAATGATGACCAGGGATATAATGGTTTAAATAATTTCCTAAGGGGCTGGGATTGTGGCTCAGTGGTAGAGTGCTCGCCTAGCACAGGTGGGACCTGGGTTCGATCCTTAGCACCGCATAAAAATAAAGGCATTGTATTGTGTCCATCTACACCTAATAAATATATGTTTTTAAATTTTTATTATTAGTTGTTCAAAACATTACATAGTTCTTGACATATATTTCATACATTTGATTCAAGTGGGTTATGAACTCCCACTTTTACCCCGTATACAGATTGCAGAATCACATCGGTTACACATCCACTTTTTTACATATTGCCATACTAGTGTCTGTTGTGTTCTGTAATTTCCTAATATAAAATTTCCTTTACTGCTAAGGAAAAAAAAAAAAAAACAACCCTATTGATCTCTGGATGGCCTCATAAAATATAACACACTATTTTGAAGTTTTCATTGTATTTTTCCTGATGCAATGAGAGGACATTTTGGATTTTTATTGAATGAATAAAGGCAAACCTCCAAAACTATATGCTGAGTGAAAGCAGCCAGAAAAAAAGAATATAAGCTCCAGGATTCTCCTGACACGCAGTCCCACAACAGGCCAACCACACCGGAGGAAAGCAGGTCAGTGGATACCCTGATCTGGAGAGTGTACTGACCGCAAGTGGCCTCAAGGGATATTTCTGGAATGACAGGGCCTTGGTACAAGGGTGCAACCAAGTTTTGCAAAGCTCACCCAGTTATAACTTGAGTGCATTTTATTTATTGAATATATCAAAGTCCACTTCCAAGGAGAAATAGATATAACAGTAAACTTACATGTAAATGTATTAATACAGGAAGGTGAAAGAACTAAGGGATACGAAGAAACGAAGCTGGCCACAGTGATTAGACCATTCTATTCTTGCATATGTTAAATTTTCTCCCTTAATAAAGTTCAAATTTTTTCCTCGGTTGTTTCTAAAATGATCTTGAGGAATCTCAACCAATCTCAAGACAATCACCCTTCCTTGCCAAACGACTATCAGTTCTAAGGGTTTCGCAGGCTGACGGGCCATCTCCTGAGGACCCCTTCACACAGGCTAGTGGCAGTTCCCTGGACACAATTCTGCTTCCCAGTGACACATGATCTAAACTGAGCTCTTGGGAGGCCTCTGCTGGCCACTCCACCAGCCTCCTGGGCCCTTCTCCACACTCACCGGGAGGGCCCTGGCCTCCAGGCAGGCCAGGTGGTCCTGGAAGGTAGGCGTTGGAGGCCAGCACTTTGTCGCCAGTGATATATTTGCCCAGCTCAGCAGCACTGTTAGGGAGCAGCGCAATCTGCAAAGAGAAGAGGAAACCCAGGTCAGAAAGCAGCAGCCCCACTGAGAGACTCCCAGCTCTTGGGTGGTGAGCAGAGGCCGTGAAGCCTTTCCCTGGATTGTTTTCTAGTTCAAACTCCTAGGGACTGAAGGAATTCCTTCTCAGCCTAGGGGCCTTCCATGTGAACAGCTTGCATGGGCTCCCTCAGCTAGTCAGTGGTGAACCTAGATACACGCCCGATTGCACAGATGTGATCAGTGCTCATCATTCCCCCTCAATGACCAGAACCTTCATGGTTCACACTTCCAATTTGTTAATTGATTTCAAACTTTTGTTAGTGGGCTCAAACTTTTATTGATCTCCTATGTGCCAGGCTCCACGCTTAGTTCATAGGTTCCAAAGGTCTGTGTCCCTAAAGAATACTCAGCACTGGGAGCCAGGACCGAGAATGTGCCTGATGGTTCACCCACACACTCAGGGCTGACCTTCAGCACACGTGGGAAGTGGTGACTGTGGTGACTTAAAATGTACCCACAAATGCTGTGGTTTTCTTTCAAAGGCAGAGACTAACCTCCCACCCCTTTGACCATGGCCTGTTCTTGGTAACCTTTCACTGAAGAGTGACAGAAGCACAGCATTTGGATTCTCAGCCTGGGGCCCAAGGACACCACATCCACCTTGCTGCTTGCCGTCTTTGATGATTCTGTCTGGGAAAGGCCAGAGGACTGCATGAATGAATGACCTTTGTGCTCCTTGAGGTCGGGTCCACTGTGGATCCATGAAAACTTTGCTAAGAACAAAGGCTACAGATTCAATTTCTTCCCTGGCAAATGGAACAGGGGACAGAGCTCCACCTCTAGGGCTGATAAGTCAGGAAGTGGATATCGGGAGCACAAGACCTGAAACACAGTGCTTCCTCCAAGAAGCTAATCCAGAGAGGCAAGATCCAGTGGAGAACACTTCTCTGTATCCCAGAGTTCTGTAGAAATGGGGCATCTCCACCATTTTCCAAAGCATCTTGCATTTGCATCCATCCTCCAAGACAAGGCCCTGCTTGAAGACCCTCTGTTCAGAGGGAAATGCAGGTTCAAGTATGCACACAACTGATCCCATCCATAACCTCTGATGTGCTCTGAGGCTCTGAACCCATCTTTGGGTGAGATTTCGAGGGGAACCTGATCCCAGTGCATGACTGGGGTGGCCGACTGCCACTGTGAAAATGTGTCCAGTGGGGATCAACACCAGTGCAGAAGCACTAAAAGTTGTGCAAGGTTCTCCTTCTGGAACGTACGTCAACTCTGCAGTATGACTTTGGGACGAAGAAACTTAAACGCTGACTTGAACTACAGAGGCTCGTCACTTCTCCCTTCCTCAGAGATTTCCTCCTCCTCCCAAGATACTGCAGACCCTAAGTCAAATTCAGGTGCAGCCCAGGAAGCTCTCATCTGGCTTCAGAAAGTCTTCAGTCTCTGGTTTCTGAGCAGGGAGGTTTGGCCCTAGTGTACACCATGCTCCCATTATGAAGCCCAGTTCTGGAGAACTTTTGGGCCACAATCTTATTCTCCTGCTGGGTTTGGGGCCCTGAAACAGCCTTAGAGCTGATGATGATTCTTAGACAGGTATTCTTGCCCATGAAAGAAATCTGACATCCTACAAAGGAGGTAGCATTATGTCACATGGTTTGCACCTTGGCATCAACTTTTACCTGACACATCAAGGAAAATGAATTCCTCCAGCCCCTTCGTGACTGCCCTCGTCTCACAAACCCCCATTATCCCTGTGACAAAGCACTTGAGATTTTGTTTACAAGGCAAGGCCATAGGAAAGCTCAAAAGGACGTCTTGGTGACATCCCTACTACTGGCGAGGAAGAGAGCCACAAGGCAGATAGGGTAGTTCCTGCCCCATCTTCCCCACACCCCCCCAAAGCTGGTGCCAGGCTCTCCTGGAGTCAACAGGGCCCATCCCCACTCCGGCCTCCCCAGCTGTCCTATTTAAGGCACGACTGGTCCTGCATTTCAAGAGGGCTGAAGTTAGCTCAGAGTGCAAGGGTGCTCTGGGGACAGGGAACTCAAAGTCATCAAAACCGTCTTCCATGGGCTCCTTGATATCCTTAGGGCTCCCAAGCACACACTCCTAGGGAGTTTGGAGCCTGTCCTTGGGCATGGATAGCTACGTAAGTCTGTGAGCTAAGAGACTCTGGACTACCTACCCACTGCCTTCCACGTTTTGAAAAGACCTAGCGTTCCCTTACATTATGTAAGGAGGTCACTCAGCTGAGATGCCTCCCATTCAATTACCCTATGATCATTATTCAGAATCCAGTGGAAGTAACGGTAGGAATCAATTTTGTACAACCTGAAAGTCATCTTCACAAAATTTCAGGCCAGGGCTCATGGTTCAGAGTTCCCGCTAGGATATGCCTGTGATCTGGGGTTTATTTAAAACAGTGCCGGTGTCATGGTATCTCAGCAACAGTCGGCTCCAACCTGCAAATGGGTGTTTCTGGTTCTGGAGTGAACTGACAAGCAACAGATCCTAAGTCTCCAACTGCAGGATGGGGGGCCCCACACGGATACTGAATGCAGGTCCAATTTTGTTATTTGCTTCCAACTAAGACACTGAAATGTAGATTCCGGCAGCGGCCTCTGGCACTAGGCAGACTCATATTGTAATCTCAGCCCTGCCTCTATCTGTAGGTTTTGGGATAAGCCACAGAACTTCGATTTCCTCACCATCAAAAAGGGGGTTGTCACATCCACCTACAAGGGTGCCCCAGGGTTAAGCTGCTGATGCCTTTAACGTGTCTGGGCCCCTGTCTGGTCACTGTCATTAACAAAATGGAAATGCTCTGCCCAGGCTTGCTTCTGGCTATTTCTAAGTAGCTGTGTGACTTCAGATAATTTTTTTTAACCCTTCTAGGCTTTTCTCTTGTCTACAAAACTAGACCTTTGAACCAGCACGTCTTCCTACTAAAAATTTTGTAAGCAGGGCTGGGGATGAGACTTGGGAGCTGCTCTGCAGCACCCCTCTCAGGAGGCTTTGCACTTTGTTATGGTGACTGATGAGGTGAGCAAGGACAGGTTGACCCCAGCAGCCTGGCTGAACCCTGCTGGGCAATCACATTCCAGTTCCTTCAGTTCCTCTGTGCATCAGCAAGACCACAGGGAGGTGCAGGTTCTGGTGTTAGAGGCAACTATCTGTACAAACTCAGCAGATGGGCTTGCTGGACCAAGTTGTTCAGAAAGAATTATGTAGCAGGTATGGAGATGGCGGCGAGGGGAGTGCATTGCCCCCGTGTGCTGCTTCACTGTGTGGGAGTATGACAAGTCAGGACGGCTAAAGGATATCTTGTTAGGAATTTCCAGCAATAGTGGGGTGCTCCGGAACCTGGAGGAAGGATTTCCATCGCACGAGGATCGGCTACGGGGACTCAAACGCGAGAGGTTTGTCGCACGGAGGGTAACACTGCTTATTCAGCAAATTGCCCCGCGGCTAGAGTCTGCAGCGCGCGCTGGGAAACGAGGAGATAGCGACGCAGGGATACAGCGCTGCAGTTTCTGCCAGCCGCGCAAGCACCATACTCAGGGCTGAATTCTGGGTTCGAGACGGGGGAAGGAAGCGGTCCATCTCGGTTCTCCACACCGGTCAGATCACAGAGGAGGCCAGCAGCCACCATGTTGGAAAGCTGACGTCACCATCCCCGTTTTCAACTGACCGCAGCTCATTCAGCCATAGAACAGGTAATTTCAGGCTGCCATTTGCCTGTGGCTTGCAGACAGATTGCTAGGGTTCAGTGCCTGGGTGCTTCTTAGAACCTGATCTTATTGGAGCGCAACACCAAGCGCGGGGCGGCCGAGTTCCGGCTCCCGGAACCGTCCCGGAACCGCCCTGGCCCAGGGCTGCGGAGCCTGCGGAGGCTGCTTCTTGGACCCTGCTCCTATCAGAGCATACACCAAGCACTAAGCGGCCGAATTCCGGCTCCCGGAACTGAGCCCGCGGGGACTGCTTCTTGGAGCCTACCCTTATAGGAGCTTACACCGAGCACGGAGCGGCCGAGTTCCGGCTCCCGGAACTTCCCTGGCCCGGGGCTAGGAGCCCGCGGAAACTGCTTCTCGGTCCGGGTCCTGCTGAGGGCTGGTCAGGACTCACCCGTTGCTTTGGTTGCCCGGCAAGGGGAACGAAATGCTGCCATTCGCATAGGATACCAACATGGCAGAGATCTGATGTCAGCAGAAAGCGGCGGAGGAGAGAACTTCATCAATACCAGCGGCGACAGAAACAGTTGGTCTCCTGGTAAGGGGGGTGAGGCACAGACACCCGAGTCTCCTCAATTTGTTGTCGAGCCAGAGGGGAGGAGCTGCGCCGCCGCCAGCGCCCGGAGCAGGCCCAGCGGCTCGCCAGCGTGGTGACCGCGTGACCCCAATTGGAGAGGGGGCGGAGCGGAGCCGCCACACGCACCCGCAAGGTGGGCAGACCCGCGACCCAGTGGTACATGGGCGTGGTAGGAGGGGCAGGGCAGAGCCGCCGTTCGCGCTTGCAAGGTAAACAGACCTGTGACAGCCTGGCGGGTCAGGCCCAGTGGCCTGCCAGTGTGGTACACACGTCACCCCAACTGGAGTAGGGGCAGAGCAGATCCTTCTCCCACGCCCGGATCAGGCCCTGCCGGTGTGGTGGTCACGTGACCCCAATTGGAGTGGGGGCGGAGCGGAACCGCCACCCGTGCCCGCAGGGTGAGCAGACCTGTGACCAACCTGCAGATCAGGCCCAGGGGTCCGCAGGCGTGGTAGGAGGGGCAGGGCAGATCCGCAGCCCGCGCCTCCAAGGTACGCAGACCTGCAACAGACCGGCGGATCAGGCCCAGGAGCCTGCCGGCGTGGTACACACACCACCCTAATTGGAGTAGGGGCAGAGCAGAGTCGCCGCCCATGCCAGGAACAGGCCCAGCGACCTGCAGGCGGGGTAGTCACGACACCCCAATTGGAGTAGGGGCAGAGCAGAGCCTCCACCCGTGCCCGA